CCCTGAAGAGGAGGTGTTTTCATTTCTGATGTTATGCCTTTGCCCTGGCTAGTCCTCCTGCTGAACACGCTTCCCACCCTGTCTGCCTACACAGCACCTACCTGCCTTTGAAGGGTCCTCTTGAAAACTTTGCCTGAACGTTCCCCACCCCTCTCTCCTTTCCTCTAGGTTTGAATGGATGAATGGTCTCTCTCTGTGTTTCCTTAATACCTCACCCCTGCCTCCATCATAGCACTTTCCAACTACTGGAAGAACCTACCCTGCCCCCTCCTCTAACTGGGAGAGTGATAGGGTCTGTGTGGTCCCCTTTGTCTTCCTCCAATCCTGTGGAGCCCTGTGTCTACACTTAGTCCTTTCCTGGGTGCTGATTCTTGTTTGTTTGCTTTCTGCAAACAGAAATTTGTTCTTGATGAACAGAGGTCTGTATGGGGCTCTCCGCCCTGTAAAATGTTAACATGAGGATGGAAAGACATGGGCACTATGCAGGGGATTCTCTGCCTTGCAACAGGGACGTACAGTAAGTGTCATAAGGGAGGTGCAGTCATATCGAATGCTATGGCCAATGCAATTAAACCTTTGTCAAACTGCCTGCCTTGGGCTCTGGATGAGAACATTGTTGAAACGCCTCCCAACTCAGGACAGGAGCTGCTGAAATGGGCAATTACTGCAGTGAACAATCCATTACTTGTGCTGTCAACAGTGTTTTTCTCTGTCTAAATGCGGAACCGAGCGGGAAACGCTATGGGAACTCAGTGGCATTTAATGGACTGATGTGCCTCGGTAGGAGCCATTCTTCAACCTGGCCGCGACAAACAGCACAATGGCACAGGGACAAGCATGAGGTTAGGGCACTGGGGGAGCCACTTAGCCATCCTGTGTCTCACTCTCCTCCCATGTAAAATGAAGCCGATAGAAGAGAATGCTTGTCACACCCTCGTGGTTGCTATGGTGATGGACTATGCACGATGTTGTGCTGCCCTGAGCCAAACCAATTTCTTTTGGTACTGCTTGTCATTGCATGCAGGAGTAATGACTGGCAGGGCTTCATTTTCTTCTTGAATTGGGAAAGCGGCTAGCGAGGCTTGGTGTGGAAAGGCCATTATTCTGGCCCCTTGGTGCAGATAAGCCATGACTGCTGTGCCAACAGGGCCGCTCAGCTTAGATGGATTTGTACAGCAGTCTGGCTGGGCTGAATCGATGGTGAGATATTTGTAACCAGGAGAATGGTAGCACCCTCTAGTTCAGCATTTTCGAGCTCAGCATCTTGGACTGCTGTTGCCTCAGTCTGGAAACTCAGCTGAAAATAATTAGCCAGACCCAACAGCTGTATCGCCAACTTGAGGGTATCCCGGGCCAGCAGCATAGTGCCGCAACACATTAGTGTAAGTGTGGCTGACTTGAGGGTTAGAGAGGGGGATGGGTGTGTCTGGGAGAAGCTGAGATGACTGAAGAGCACTTGTGGTGTACACGGCTGTGCATTCAGGTCGCCACAGGCTAAGCACAGGCTGGAATTGTGGCTAATACAAGCACACACGGATATTTATGAAGGACTTGTGAATAGTTATCTCTGGGTCACTGGAGGTGGGCTTAGGGACTTTCCAACAGGGTCCTGCCTAGCAAACCTTGCTTGGTGCCAGTTCTGCCTCTTTTAGACATGGATACTGTGGTTGATAATTGGTTGAAAGAAAATGGTCCCCAAAGGGAATGACACTATTAGGAGAAGGTGTGGCTTTGTGGGAGTGGGTATGGCCTTGTTAGAGGAAGTATTCCCTGTGCGGGTGGACTTTGAGGGCTCATATATGCTCAAGTCATGTCCGGTGTCTCAGTTCACTTCCTGTTGTTGGCCAATCAAGATGCAGGACTCTTAGCTCCAGCACCATGTCTGCCTGCATGCCACCATGCCCCACCATGATGAGAATGGACTCTCTGAAAATGTAAGTCACCCCAATTAAATGTTTTTATAAGAGCTGCCATGGTCATAGTGTCTCTTCACAGCAATAGAAACCCTAAGACAGACACCATCATAACATTCCCAAGAGCTTCAGACTGAATTTACAGATGAAGTTGGATAACAGGTATCCAAGTTCACCCTATGCTCAAGGGTGGTGTTAGACATGGGGCACCAGAGCCCACCCTGCATCCACAGAGGACACTAGACACTGCTGATGGGGCACCAGTGTTCTGTCGTCCCTTAAAAACTGGATGTTTCAAGCATTTCTTTCACTCCCAACATGGGTCTACATGACTCCTCATTTCTTTTCCCAGGGAAAAGCAGGTACAGGAGCTTGTGTTCCCAGACCTGAATCTGGGAATAAAGGAACATGTAGCCTCAGAGGGTCTAGTGCCTCTTCCATATGAACGGTAGCCTGGACCTGTGAAGCTGCATCTACCATGTGTGGTGTATGTCTGGGACACAGAGAAAGACACAGGGAGAGATGAGGGAGTGGGTAAGAGAGACAGAGATATCCTTAGTATAGGATATCACATTGGAATGTTGTTCCAAGGCAGCCAGCACACCCAGGGTTCACCATGGCCACTGCATCTCATAACCACATGCCTGAACCTGGCTTCCCACAAGCCACTTCCTCTGGACTGGGCATGATACTGTCACATGCCCAAGGTAACCAGTTTCAGAATTGGAATTCTGGACTTGGTTCCTCTAGATCCCCGAGTCCATCCCTGGAGTTCCTATCGCAGACAGAACTACCACAGCTCAGGGGTTGGTTATTACCCTCTGCCCATGCTGTGGGACCAGACCCCTTGAAACTGCTTACTCTCTCTGGTTGGCTCCTGTTTTAGGCCCAGGCTGCACACCAGGTCTCTTCCTTGTGTCATGGTGGCCTTTTGTAAAATGTTATACCCTGGTTTAAGGTCCCTCAGAGTACCTGCACAGCCCTCGAATTCCATACTTCTTTGAACCTTTAGTAATGATTCCTGTTTCCTTTTTGTTCGTATATGTTAGACATTCTCATCCTCGACAGAGCAGCTAAGAGTTGTTGAGTATGTCTTAATAGTATCCACACGTCGTCATCCTAGACAGTGAGCATGCTTGGTCTCCAGAGCCCGCAGCCTCCCACCAAGATGGCATCGATTCCCTAGGGGCAGTTTGTGAATCTGTCAGCTAGTGGAGGAGAACCCAAGAGTAATGATGGATCCTGTCCAGTGAGGAAGCGAGATGACCGCAGTGATCTCAGAATGACCATGTCAAGTTCAGACTGCAAGGATTCGCCAACCCTTCTTGCCTCATGGTGTGGGAGAATTATCTGTATTCTGTCAATCATGTATTTTAATAAAACGCTGATTGGCCAGGCAGGCAGTATAGGCAGAAAAACCAGACAGGAAGTAGAAGTGATAAAATGAGAACAGGAGAATTCTGGGAAGCAGGGAGGTTCCTCAGCCATTCCTGCGCAGGCCACCGAAGAGGCAGCATGTAACTTGCCCAGCTGAGAAAGGTATGGAGCCAATGTGGCTAATGTAGATAAAGATAATGTGGTAACATAAGTTATAAGAGTTAACAAGAAGCCTGACCTAATGGGCCAATCAGTTTATAACCTTATGGAGTTCTGTGTGTGATTTTCCTTGGGATTTGCCAGCTACGAGGTACCGGGTGGGATAGAAACCCCAACAAGCCGGCCCCTCATGTTACATATGGCGCCCAACGTGGGGCGCTAATTATCGGCGAATCAATCCCACACCAGTTATGTTTTAAGGGGTTATTTATTTTGGGGGGTAAAACTTACATACACCATAAACCGTCAGGAAGGGAGCCTAGTCGCAGGAGCCGGGAGCAGGAGCCAAGAACAAGCACCGGAACCAAGAGCCAAAACCAAGAGGGCCTATTCCGGATATGTTTCTCTTTTTAAAAGAAAAATATACCACGCCCCAGTGGGCTGGTATTTCAGCAGCTATTGGCTGACGGAGCGGAAGTCGCTCCCCGCTGCACTGTGGGCTCGTATTTCAGCGACTATTGGTTGAGGCAGCGGAAGTTACTCCCACAACAGCCTCATGTAAGCCTCCACTGAGAGTGTAAAGGCAGAATATCTTTCTGAGTCTCAAGTCCTGTGGGCGGGTGAATGGACCATGGGGTTTGACACACAGTCCCATCAATAGATACTGGAGAAAATATGAGCATAGAGCGGTATGGTCTCTCACGGGAAGCTGCTTTCTGAAGCCCATCTAGTGGACCCTGGTCTATAAAGATTATCTAAAAATGCTGTTTCTAAGCTTCAAAGAACTCATATTTCCCCCTCATCTATACTTAGAGGAAAAGAGATGGTTTCTTGGATGGTGGGGAAAGGAAGGAAGAAAAACGTTGGGTTATGCTGTCTTGCTTTGGGTTACTGTCACTGGGGAATGGCAATGTCACTGGTTCTGCAGGGCCATGGTGATGTGGCCTCCCGAGAGCATGCTGCTATTCCAGCTGTTGTTACAAACTCTGCACTAAGCCTCTAAGTGGTACCATTTCTTTTCTTTTCTCTCCTTACGGTCTACCCAGGGTTTCTTTTTATCTCATACCACCCCAGAGCAGATCAGCTGGCCCTTCCGCTTCATCAGCCTATAGGTTGATGGCACCAATCTCAAAATGCTTTAGGAAAGGGCTTTTCTGGCCAGCACTCCTCATCCTACTTCTCCTGGAAGATACTGCCTTCCTTAACATGCCCAGTAGTGAAGACATCCATGGGCAGCTTATAGTTACACCATCAGCAAGGGGATCAGGGGATACGTTGCCAATCTTGCTCACCCATGGCATCTTCTCGCATGTCACAAGACATTGCACAACTATCTGTAAATCCTCTGTGCCCCTTCAGCTGCCAGTGCTGGGCACCAGCAGGTGGGCAGACGTACTGGAGATCAGAGATTCCACATTATGGGAAGCAAACCCGACTCCCCACATGGTGGCTTGTGAAAGACCTCTGCCAAAACAGATCTCATGCTCTGTATCCCAGGTCCCCCCTACTTGATTCCTGTCAGGGAGAATCCCTGGGAGTTTGCGTTCATACCTGTTGGGATGGTGGAACCCCCGGCTTGGTTGGCTGTTGGTTGAGCAGTGTGCCGAAGACAGCTACCTGTTGGGAGGGAGGTGGCTGGGTGCTGCATGTGGTCCTGCAGGCTGGTGAGAGGCAGAGAAGGCCTGGTGGCAGTGGCTGGGCTGCTCAGACTGCCACCTCCAGGATGCATAATGGTTGCCATCCCCTTGGCCAATGGGGACCCTCCGAGCACATTATTCCAGGGTGACCCAGTCCCTCCTCCAGGAATCCTGGGGAAATAAGCAGAACCAAGAAGGTGAGTGGGTTCAGGTCAATTTAGGCCATGTGCCATGGCAAAACCCATCTCTGACCTGCAGGCTCGGAGAGGTAGGGCAAGGTCACGAGGTCCGCGGAAGTCCTGAGACAATATCAAGCCAATGCTTTAGTTAAAGGATGCCCAGAGGTCGAGCTGAGCAGCTGGGTAGCCTTGGCTGTGCTTGTTTTTTCCTAACCAAGAGCTATGTGCTTCTAAACACTACTAGAAAGATGGTGGACTCTCTCGTGTCTCACTAGCCTGATACTTTTGGAGCATGATAGGACATGATGGTGGCTTCGCCTACACATGTCTCCATCTTATTTCTGCCAGCCACTGAACATGGGCATAGTAGAAACACCATTACCCCCTGAAAACATCAGGGAACTCGCGGCTTATACCTGAGACAGACACTCTCACCCTAAACTCCCAGATAAACGCACTCACCATGAGATGAGAGCAGCCACTTTGGAAATGGCTTTTAACTCTCTCTACACGGGCATTAGCCTTGGCTCTGGGGATGGTGTTGGGGCTAATGGGCTGCTGTGGGTTGTGGTTAAGGGGGATTAAAATGTGCCAGGAGGAAGGCATGGTGGGAGCAGAGTGGAGGCATGGGTGGAGGCATGATGCTCCAGAGAAGAGTGGTTCTGCCCAACACTGACATTTCCTGGGCCAGGGGTACTCTCAGCTCCCGGTGCCCTGGGTGGGGACTTCCAAAGGGAAGAGCCCTGCAGAGCTCAGAGGAGTGTCTGTGTAGCAGCAATGGGAAAGAAGAAGGGTCTCCCAGAAAGGGGGTCACTGCTAAGGGGTTACCAGCACTGTGCTCCATCCCCATCCTTAGAGGTAGTTTGAAATTTGCCTCTCATGGCCCTGCTAGTGGGTCAGTCTACAGCATCCATTTTAACCACTGCTATAACCCCATCCTCGACCTTTACAAACCAAACCGATGAGCTTCAGAGTGTGGGCCTTGTACTTGCAAAGCCATGCTAACAAGTCTGAGGGCAATGGACCACAGCATGCCTTCTATGGCAGCTGAGTCCCCTTCCCTCTCGGTAGCCGCGGTCTGGCCAGGTATGTTCCAGCCAGGGTTTATTTCCTTACTGTTCTTACAAGTACCCTAGCACACAAGGCCAGACTTTCCTTTCTTTTGTAAAACAAGCAAGCAAGCAAATAAATAAATGCGCCCCAAACAAGCAACAAGAAAGAGGCACCTGTAATGTCTTTTGTAGGCGACAGCTATAAGGCAGCTCTAATGTGTACCTGCCAGGCTCAGACTACTTTGGCGACTTTGGTTCTGCACACAGAGGCTGCCCCTCTGTCACTTGTTTCTGCTGGGTGGTTTTGGCAGTTTTCTAATGTGCAGTGAGGATAAGAGATGGTGTCAGTCTTGGGGCAGAGCACAAAAGGACAGCCTTCTGCTTCTCTACATAAGACCAAAGGCAGCCTTTCTACATTGTGGTGCGTGGCGGGCCTGCTTGAAGAGCCTACCCATGCAACCTGAGATACAACGCCAACGATGTATGTGTCCTCCTGGGTACTTTCTCATGGAGACCCAAAAAACGTGAGCCTACTCCACCGTGTCTGAAGGTCCGAGAATTTGAGCTTATTTTTGTGTTTTGAAAGTTGTTGACAACAGGTGTGGCTATAAACAAGATATTCTGACCTAGGGTGTGGCTACTCGGTGTTTTGGACATTAAGATGGCCTATGGAGGTAGATCCGTTCCACCCCGACCAAAGGTCAGAGAGTTCAAGCATACTTCTGTTCCTTCTTTTGAAATAGGAGGTTTGACTTAGGGAATGGCTGCCCGCAGGATACTTGGTCTAGGGTGGGTTCACTGCCCCAGACGTCAAATAGTTTTACTCAGGAATTAATGGCTCGATGTCTCAAGTACTGACACAAATAATTGTTCTGGTTGTCCTTTGTATCTTTTGCCTTCTCCCCCCCACCCCGCCTTGTACTGGGGTATAAAAGTGTATGGAAAATTAAGCATGGGTGAACTCAGAACTCAGAACTCGGAAATTCAGCATTCAGGATTCGCTGAGTGACCCTCCTGTTACGATCCTGTGTCTCTGTGATTCTTCCTTATCTCTGTTCTTCCTGTCTAACATTCCTAATCTTCACATCATGGTTAGGCAGACCAAAAAGGTGGCTCGTGACACATTCTGGAGCCACTTGGATAGGCAATCATCAGAATGGCATCTTTTTCAGCATCTTCCAAAGATACTTAAAACAGTTTACTTTTATGTGTGCTGTTGTTGACACAGGCTGTTTGAGGGGCTGCTGTCAGTGACACTCAAACAGCCAATCGGGGAACCTCATAACACAACAGAAACTTCTGACATCTCTGGGCCTCCTCTTCAGTGAGTTTTAACAATTGCTTTCCTTATTTCAAAAGTAATGTAATTGTGATTTGTAAAAATGCCACACAGCACAAGGAAGGGATTTAATAAATACCCATAATGCTATCAATCATTAACATTGTTACTTTAAGACATTTATCACTTTCTTTATTTGATTGTGTGTGTTTTACATATATAGATGCACGCTGGGCTCATACTACAAAAGTATATGTGATGTACATATATCATACATGTATACATATGTTATGCTCACATGGTACAAATGCATCCATATATGCTATGCCTATACTACCTATATGCACTTGTGTATTATACCTATATCATGCACATACATGCAGAGACACATTAGATACTCACATGTGCATACTATATACATATCAAACTCTACATACATGCAAATGTTGTGCACATATGGGTGTACACACCAATGTGGGGCACACACTTTCATGCTTATACATATAGCGTAACTCTACTGTAAGCATGCACACGACCCGTACTCACTGCATACACGCACATATATGAGCATGCATACTTGATAACATCCTGTGCACATTGCATAAGGATGCACCCACGCTGGCCTGGTTTACGAGCATGTACCCTGAAGATCTGGTTCTCTGATGACCTTCCCATCCCAGCCCCCAACTCAGCTGCTGTTGCTTACTCCAGCCCCTGCCCCAGACTCATCCCCTGGGTAGCCAGTGTTCACTGAGAAAGCCTAGCAAACTAAGCTTGACAGTTCCTCCCCAATGGAACTCAAATGTCCCCACTGCCTCTGGACTGGGTGGAACCTCCAGTGTGGCCTCCAGGGTTTCCACAGCATTAGGAATTTGATATGTATATGTAATGTATGTAGACCCTTGATCAGGTTGCCAGGCTCTCACCTGGAGACGGGTGTCACGTAGTTCCCGGGGAAGACCCCGGAGACCCCGGTTTTCAGTGACGCCCCCTTGAACCAGCCGTCCTGGCACTTCTCAAGCACGCGGTACATCTCCCCCTTACGTAACTCCAGCTCGTCATTCTTCTGGGGTTTGTATGCATAGAGGGCCAGGTACCTGTGAACAGAGGAAAGGACAAGGTCAGTGGACATGTCTGAGGGGCACGCTGGGTGACAGAGGAGGCACAGGACAGACGGAGTGATGATGACCCCATCTAAAGAGTAGCTGGTCTCTGCAGGGTACTAGAATTCACGGAGGTCACATACCCTTTACCTCCCTCAGTCCTATCACAGCCCCTGAGGTGGAGGAGGAAAGCAGGTGTGTTCCTAGTGCTTGTGGACCTGCCGGAGCACAGCACTGCCCTGACCCACTGAAGAGCCAGGAGATACGTGGATGATGTGAGGGGCTTTTTATTTTGTGTCAAAGATGGGGAGAAGCTCAATGAGGCCGAGTGATGCTCGGTTTCCAGGCTACCTGTATCCTGGGCCTGGTCTCTATAGCTCACAACATTTCCCCCTTTTCTCTGTGCTTTCTGCAGTCTGGTATCCAAGGAAGATGAACCTTAGGGATAGTCGAGTAAACTAGCTAGGCCTGGTTTTCCTGCCAGGTTTCTCTAGTCAGCCTAAGCTAGACAAGAACTCTCTAATTTCTCTTTCAGAAAGGGCGGCTTCTCCACACTTCCTAGAAACATTTGCCCTGCTGCTAATTACTTCACGTCTCCTTTACTTACAAGCCTCATTTGCAGATAAGACCGAAGAAACATCAGCCCTTTGTGTGACACACTGAGAATGTGTGCATCTCTTCCATGCAGCACTGAGTGAGCACGGAATAAGCTGGCAGAAGGGCTCCCCTCCTTCTGGAGTCTAGAGAACAGCTGGACTTGACTGTTAGAGGAACCTGCATCAGATCCTTGCTTGCAGGATCCAGCCATGAAAGCAGATGGGCACCTCAGTTCCACAGCCGAGGACAGACGAGCCATCTCGAGAACTGTGCCCCAAGCTGTGGGCTCAGGGGCACGATCAATCTGTCCTGGGACCGCAGGTGTCTGGGCTGCTAGATCCCCAGCATCCCAATGGCATCTTCCTGACTCCGCAAAGGGTCTTTAGAGGAAGGGGAAGCAGAAACACAGCCGTTCGCTAGAATTCATGTCAGGACAGAGGAGGCCCCGAGGAAGAGCCTAGAACAAAGTGAGAGTCCCACGGAGACCAAAGGTCTCCCCACCTTCTGTAGGTCTTCTAGTTCTTCTACTCAGTGGGGGCTCAGTGGCCTCTTAATACGCTTCTGCCCCTAGGATGAAAGCCAGGAACACCGATGTTTGGGAACACCCTGGGCTTCTGAAGGCAAGCAGCCATCAGGAGACGACCCTCCTCCCCAGGGACATGTAGGTCCCCGTGTCCACCCATGCCTGTGACAGATAAGAAAATCAGGGTGTGATTCATGGGAGCGGCCAGAAGGAAAGTGTTACTAACAAGTTAGATACATGAAGACTGTGTCTAGGCCCCGTGCTGGATAGTTTTATGTCGACTTCACACAAACTAGAGCTATCTGAAAGGAGGGAACCTCAACTGAAAAAAAAAATGCCTCTATATAAGATCTGTCTGAGGGGCATTTTCTTAATTAGTGATTGATGAGGGAAGACATCCCATTGTGGGTGGTACCACCCCTGGGCTCCTGGTCTTGGGTTCTATAGGAAAGCAGGCTGAGCAAGCCCTGGGGAGCAAGCCAGTAAGTGTCACTCCTCCACTGACTTTGCATCAGCTCCTGCCTCGAGGCTCCCGCCCTTATTCTTTTGAGGACGAACTGTGAATGAAATCAACCCTTTCCTCCCCTAAGTTGCTTTCAGTCATGGTGTTTTATCGCCAGGCTAGTAAAACCTAAGAGAGGCACTCGTCGAGTGCTAGATGTGCTGTATGTGCGCCATAGGGGAGAGGGTGTTTCCTGGTGACAGGTGCTGAGAGGCAGAACAGGACCAGAGGTGGCTATGTTGGAGGACTGGGTACGACAGCCCATGATGGAGATGTGAAGTGCCAATCCTGGCTAAGCTGTCCCCTTCAGTCCCTTTATGACAGTCAGATCAGTCTGTGACTTGGGCCACAGCAGAATGCTAAGAACGGTGACGGATGGCTCCTTGGAGTAGTGTGGGTCTCTAGACAGCCAAACCCACCAGGTTAACATATGTCCTGGGTGGGAACGGAGGTGGCCCAGGGGCTCACCTACTGCCTGTAGCAGGGCAGGGCCCAGGCTTTGCTTCCCTGTTAAGAAAGGCCTGAGGACCTATCTCTGTTCATCTCTGGTGCTGTGTAGCTTGGTGGGTACAGGAGTGAACTGTGGCCCCATAACCTGTTCTTTGCCAGAGAACTGGGTTTGTGGGTTAACTCAGGGCTACACCCAGGCCAAATATATGACCACTGCTGTCTTCAGAATACCCCTGCATAAAGCATGGAGTCCTGGGGCCCCGTGCTGTGTGTGCACGTGTGGCTTCAGGTCACGGCACACGAAACATGTCCGAGGAAGCATCACAACCCCCCTCCCTCCCAGACACTGCTGCCTCTCAGCAGGCTTTCTCCAAGCCTCAGGAAATGTTTTCCTGTGTGGCTCATTCCCTCTTCAGAGACTCTCAGACTGGGCAACTGCCTGAATTGAAGGTCTCGGGGTTTCAGTTTTCTTCTTCCCCTCACTTCTTTCCCAGCCTTCCCATGGAATTCCTATGTGGTCTGCGGGAATCGAAGCAGCTGCGTTCTCTTGGCAGGAGAACTCCCCTAGCAGGATGCAGCTGCTGCTGATATTAGGTCATGCTCGCCTCATGAGCGGCTGAGTGCAAGTTTGGGGTCCTCACAGTAAACCTTGCTCAGGGGGCAGTGCTCCTGGGGTACAGAGAAAGCATCACACAGGCTCCTGCCTCAGGACACTTTTACCACCATCTACCTACAACATTCATCCCCTACCCAGCACACCCCATGTTCCAACAGGACAAAGAGTTTTAACCCATGGTTCAGTTGCTTCTGCTCCCTACCTGGCATTTGGTGTATTCTCAACAAATACTTGTTAAAGCAAAACAGAAGTCCTGGTTTGCATATTAATTTAACATATTTCTATTAATCTGTGTGTCGCCACGTGGCTGTGGCTTACCGGCTAAAGTTCCAGTATCTGTCTCCTGTGGGCTCCATGGTTTCTCTCTGACTCAGCCTCCTTTCTCCCAGCATTCAGTTTAGTTTTCCCCACCTAGCTCTGTTCCCCTATAGCTCTGCTATAGACCCAAAAAAGTTACTTTATTCATAGCATACAGAGGGGGAATCCCACATCATCAGACCACAGTGAGCTTCCTACAGCAGGACAGAGTTCTCTCTAGCCATTCACTTGCTGAGTAAGGGGCCATTCAAGGGGACAGGAGTGCAGCTGCCTTGACTCTTCTGATCTGAGTGCGATTAGTGGGATGCAGACATTTCTTATCACATCTGGGAAGTCACTGCATTACAAAGTGTGTAGTGCCGGGATAAATGGGCTACCAACCCCTGAAGGGCTGCAGAGGAACAGCTGTCAAATAGTGGAAGGCCATTTCTGTTTTGAGATTATCTTTTACTCCGTATTTTAGGGTCCCTTATGTGATTTAATGGGACACGGTCTTTGCAATTATTCCCCAGAACATGAAGGGAGTGATTCTCTTCCTCTCTCTCTCTCTCTTTCTCTCTCTCTCCCTCTCTCTCCTCTTTTCCTACAACACTGAAAATGAGGATTGTTTCTCAGTAGCTTCAAGTCATCTCAAGACTTTTAAAACCAGAAAAGGCCTCTTTCAACATCCCACGTTTCCCTAACACTCAGCCGTGGTCCCTAAGGAGATAATAAGGCAGGGAAGTGGAGAAGTAAAGGGTGAACATGGCTGCACAGTTACTGTCCTGGCACTGAGTCTGCAGGCACCACCACTGGATCAGAGGCCCAGCCTAATGCCTACCCCTTCACTTTCTTCAGTACAGAAGCTGCCAAGAGACGCATGATTTAGGTTTTCAGAAATAAAGATTTGTATTTCATGCTGCGTTAAGCCTCTGCACACAGGGGCGAGTAGCTTCTTAGGAGTGGGATGCCCCAGGAAACGTATGCATTACATGCTCAGTGGTACGGACAGCGCTGAGGTGCTGACTGACGCCCAGCAGGAGAGTCACGTCCTTTCCGGGTGCTGCCCAACCGAAGCCCTGTCTGCCTCACTTCTCACAGCACAGCCACCAGCTTTGACTTTCTTTGGGACCTTATCGATCAGCTGTCAGCCCTGTAGAAATATGGCTTCACCGGGGCACTGGTGAGACAGGGCAAGGGAAGAGGGAAAGTCGTGTCTACTGTGTACTGGGCTCCCACGGGCCCTGAGGTTTCACAGCTGGGGAAGCTAAGGCCGGAAAAGTCCGAGACTCTATCACTGATTTTGTATGTTCGGAATCAAGGACAGGCCTGTGATTTAGACCTTAGCATGGCCCAAGGGTGGGGCCGGACACCATGAGAGCCGCAAGCCTGGGTGAACATGGCATGGGGTGGGTCTAGCTCTGGAGTCAGGGATACCACCGGCCAGCTCTGAGTGCAGGCCTACAAGGCTCGCCACGTAGGGGAGTGCCGTTTGGATTGCAGCAGGGCACTGACAAGATTCGCCTTTTAATCTGTAAAAGATTTACCTTTAAGTTGCATGTGTGTGTGTATACATGTACTATGTTGGCACAGATTAGAGGCATTGGAGGCTTGGGTGCTGGAGTTACTGGCAGTTATGAGCCACTCATCGTGGGTGCTTGGAGCAAGGGCAGTTCCTGCTTAACCTCTGAGTTGCCTCTCCAGCCCTTGGCCTTGCCATCCTTCTTTGAAATGTGCTTTACTTCACGAGACCCCACCGAGAGTCTCAGTCTTCCACGTTTAAGCACCTGGTCAGTGCTGGGCGAGCAAAATTTTACCATAAAAAACTCATTGTGAGAAATAGTCTCCTCCCTTCCCTTCCCTCTCTGGGTGCCTTGGAGGAGTGACCAAGGCAGATGGATGTACTGGGGGCTTCCTTGTGTTCGGGGCGTGTGAATCTGGCATGCACTTGTGCAGAGTGGGACACTGACTGGGCAGCATGTCACCAAGCTTCTGGTCTCCTTTACAAG